CCAGGGCAGAAGGGGAGATACCACAATTGTTTAGCACAAGTTTGGTCAATGGATCGGCTTTACTTGTCTCTTTGACGAGTTGTTGTGTGATGCTAATAATGGCGATACTCACTGACGATGCCGACTATGATGCCTGCGAAACGTTTGGGAATGTACCACGTCCACGGTTCAACTTTGGAAATGATCATGCAGACAATGGACTCCGCTGCGTTCCTCTAAGTCTTCCTACCAAAATGACCATGTTGCGAGAACAAGGTCAAACAAGCTCTATACAACGAAAGGAGACTGCGACCACACAAAAGGCCACACCATCTTGGTCCTTCCTACCTTCGATTGACTCATGAAGCCTATCCCAATTATTGGGATAATAACTTCTTATGTAATCCCAGGCGACCTAGAGCTACCAAGTTCCTATTTAAGAGTTAGTAAAATTTCAAAACGCTCTTACCCAAATATAATTCTCAACTCCTCTACATACTTGCAGAACCGGCTGCGTGCATTTCTGATGATGCCATATTTGCTAATTTACTTTAGAGTAAAAGTGTTTGATGAAGGGCTTCGTAGGCCAACTTTGCCAGAAGACAAGGACCAACAACTTTTTGTGCTGTTATAATCACTTTGATTCGCCAAAGCTGATTTCGAACATAAACTTGTTCATGAAGAGACTTAAGCTCTCACGAACATACAGACACACTAACACAAGTATATGATTTGAACAAGCCAAATCACTTTATGCCTCCTCAAAATGCATAGATTCAGGGCATATAAACAGGATTTAGGGATAAACCAGCGAGTTTTCCTGACTCATTAGTTTGAATCAGGTTGCAATAATGATACACAGTTCTGATGATATCGGTCTTAAGGTGGATATTTTCACCAGACTCGGGAACAACGACAACTAAAATGTTCAAGTAAATTGTTGGGCTTATTTTTATTTCGAGTTAAAGTATTTGGTGAAGAGATTCGAAGGTTGATTACATCATTAAGTAACAAAGGATTACTCGTGACCAGACGTCCATTAGCTTCACTGGAACATCCGTGGTGACGCTGTTTCCAAGATGATCTTGTTCGATTCCGGTGAAAACGTTATAAGCTGTCTTCCGTCGTATAACGAACATCATCAGAGCAAGGTATCATCGTCACAATTAAATTCAAGCTATCGAGTCAAGAAAACTCACCAGCAAATCCCTAAAGAGTGGTATATATACTCGACATCTGGCCTCTTTGATCAAGTATAAAGTGATTTGGTTAGTTCGAGTCATATGTCAACTTCGATGCCTGTGAGTGTGTCTGTTTCTGTATGTGTATGTGCCTGTTTGTGTTCGCTTATGCACAAAACCCGAAATGATGGCTCAGAGTAATTAGGACAGAAAAAAGGAACGTCTGTTTTTTACCATCAAGATTTGATGACCCCTATCTCCCCTTTCTACATTTAAGTAATAACCA